CTTGCTCCCCCTCCCCTGGCGCTGCGCTCCGCCTGCTTGCCTGGCGGCGGCGGCGACAGCTCCGCCAGCCCGGGCATGGAGGGAAGCGCTTGCCGCTTGCTCCCCCTCCCCTGGCGCTGCGCTCTGCCTGCTTGCCTGGCGGTGGCGGCGGCTCCGCCAACCCAGGCATGGAGGGAAGCGCTCGCCGCTTGCTCCCCCTCCCCTGGCGCTGCGCTCCGCCTGCTTGCCTGGCGGCGGCAGCCACAGCTACTCCAGCCCGGGCAAACTCCTGACTTTGTGCGCCGAGAGGCGACGCGAGCCTCCACCCGTCGCAGCGCCACCCTGTCCCCGAGGATTTCCCGCGGGGCACGCACCTGCCTCAAGTTATTCGGCGCGCAATTGTGAAGGTTGCGGCCCCACCGGGCTCGAAGTGGAGAAGGGAGGAAGAATGGGAGAATGAAAAGGAGCTAAAAAAGAAAAAGCCCCCCTCGGCGTGCTGGAATGAAGGCAACTGGAGGGTTTGAGGGAGAAGCAGGCAGACGCTCAGTCAGCTCCATCCATGTTTGCAGAGCCACAAACAACTTATGGTAAGCCTGTTTATTTCTACTGAAACTGAACTGCGAAACTCATTTTGCTCATTTTGCCGCCTAAAACTATTTTGTGACGTTATTGGATATAGATTAAGCCTTTTAGTGATTGTATAGATTCCCCCCCCCCCAAAAAAAAGAACTACGGTACTCACTTTCCTCAGTTCTCGAGACGCTGACTCGAGTATAAGCCGAGGGGGGCATTTTTCAGCACAAAAAATGTGCTGAAAAACTCGGCTTATACTCGAGTATATACGGTATAGCAAACACCGTCACTTAAATATCAATACAAATACAGGGGCTTCCGGTTTGGCCTTCCGTGCTCAGTTTCACCCTACTGGGAGCCTTAAAAGGCCCTAAAGTCACCCTGAAGAGGCAATGAAGAAGGAGAGTGCCTCCTCGATCATGGAGAGATGGCGGTCTTTCCATTCGATCCAAGGAAAGTCCTCCAAACTGGCAGGGGAAGGACTGGCTACATTCCTGTGGCCAGCCATTAGCCACTGACAACTGAAGAAGAAAAGCACCAATTAGCAGATCGTAAACAGCATGTTTGGAACTGGGTGAGAATATAGATTCTTTCTTTACTATTTTACAACTGAATTTCCTGGGAAAGGCTCCCAAGAAGCTAAAAACCTCCAAACGTGAGAAGGAAGGGGATTCTAACCCCACCCTTCCAGAAAAACAGAAGCGGCATTTTAATTTCTTTTATGGGGGACAGAAATGCTGAAGTGGAAGTAACATAAAGCTACAGTTTTGACAAATTTGAGAACTGAGATAATTGTTAAGATTTTCTCTTTGGGGAAAAAAACATTGAGGTGAAATATAAAAAAATCAACCCTTTGTCTTAAGAGTGGAAAATGGATTTTGAATGACATCTAGTGGTGGATTTTATAGCACCATAACTAGCTTCCTGGCTGCTTGGTGACTCCTAGCTTAATGGAGAAGAGTTGGCAATAAAGGAAAATATCTTTGGCATACTTATCACCCTGACCTTCTTGTACTATAAATACCTACTAAGCTTGGATTTTTCCAAGCTCAGAACTACTGGGAGAGAAAGGAAAAATTGTCTTTTGACTACATCTGGCAGGGAGAGACTTTTGAACTGCTTTCAGGGTGGTTGAACATTTTGAACACTTTGAATATCGTGGATTACAACTTTGCCTGATTCACAATTCTTGGATGCCTGAAACAAAGGATCACTACAAAATAGTGCTTTTAGGACTGGACCCATATTCTGGAACCTATTGGACTATAAAGGCTACACATAAAGACCAGAAACTAGATGAACTAATCATAAAAGTTTTGACAGACTATCTGGAGGGGGGAAAACAAAAATGGATGTTTTACACCCATCTAAAAGTGGTAAGAAAATATACCTTGTACCTCCATTTGAAGCCCCTATCCAGGCTATTCAAGGATCTCCAGGAATGATGCCTCAAGAAAAAATAAACACCTTTTAGAAGGAAACATACCCTATGCTACAACTAATTCACCCAACAATTGTTGCACACAAAGAGGACACAAAAAGGAACCATAATGAGACTGAAAATAATGAGCAAATCTCCAAATTAAATCTACAACTAGAAAATTCCCAGACAATGACTACAAAGTATGAACAAATAAACTAGAAATCAGAAGATGAAGCAGAGGAAATTGACCCAGTGACGGAAGAGATAAAAGTAGGGACATATAAACTACCATATACAAATAAAATACTGCAAGACTTAGCCATAACAACAAAAAAGGAAAAGGCGCTTTACCCTTTAAGTCTGCAAAATATATCTGATGATAAGGAAGAAGATCTTTAAAAATGGAATATAGAACTGTCAGGGGAAATGACACAACCTGGGAGACAAAAAATGAAAAGAGAAATTGAGGGAGAAGAACAGTGGGAGTTGCTTAAATAATATAAATGGGTGGAATTCCCCCCCAAAATACCCTACCTAAATTGTCTTCTCATGCCAAGCAATTTTTTACAAAAATAGAAAGAAAATTCCTGGGCGATTTAATTGCTTTAGCTTGGAAAGCTACCTGGCAAAGAAAGAAAGCGAGAGTTAGACTTAAAAAACAGAATATTTGGCCTATTAGAGGGGCATTATATGATTAAATATCTGTTTGAATGTGATTAACAGATGATCCTTAGATATAATTAGACTTTTATAATGAAAGGTATGATTTAGAATTAAAATAGCATTTTTTTCTTTTTTTGATATGGGAAATATGAAAATAAGAGGATGGTTGGTATGAACAAAACTCTTAGCCATATAAATGTAATTAATATTGAGAAAATCATAACTGACAAAGATATTTCAAATATTGATGGGAGATCAAACTTTAATAAGAGCATGAAAAACAGGATATTGATTTATGAATTGATATTATTTGTATAATAATAAAATAGGATATTTATATTTAACTTTGTATGCATTAACAATAGCAAGAATTGTAATTGTGTAATGAGGGGAAAATGGGAAAAATTTTGGGAGGAAAAGAGGATCAGAGAAAAAACACTGGATTGTGCAACACTGAACAGATTTATATTGAAGAAGTTAATGTTAAATATGTGAATCCAGACAACACGTTGTCAGAGGTCCCAATCACAGACCTAAGCCCAAAAGAAAACAGGACATTGGGATCAAAGGAAACCAGGTTTATTCGGGTACACTCTGGCTTGCAAGCTCAAAGCAGTTGCAAACAAAGTCAGCACTGGGAGCAACTGCCTCCTAGCGCACTAAATAGATGGATCCCACCCAGGCCCACCCCCACCCACCTAACCAGCATCCAGAATGATGATTATGAGCTCCCAACCGGCCCCTGCCCTCAGTGGTCAGCCTGGCTTGGGCTCTGGTCCGTGGCAGCAAGTCAGCAAAGCAAGTGAGGTCTGATTTCAAAGTCCCCACCATTTCTCTGCACTGATCAGCTGTTCAGCAGAGTGCTGAACAGCTGAGCTGGCAAAACCTGGAAATTTGTGACTGCCAGCCATTCACCGGCATGACGGCCAGGCAGCTGCCGGCTCCTCGACGATCGCGGCACTTCAAATGCCCACCCAGTCAACAACCAGGTGAAGGGGGGAGGGCTGTCACTGCTGCTGCCTCCGGATACACCCGTGCCCCTCCCCCCTCCCGGTTAGTGGCAAGCCCGCGGAGCTTTACAACTAAGCAGTAAAGATTGTAATTGTTAAAAATCAATAAAACATTAAAAAAAATAATAAATATCAATACAAATACTGACACCATGTTTTAATCTACATTTAGCTTGACTTCCAATTTTTTTAAACTTATCTTTCTTTCAGGTCTTATTACTTTTTCAGCCTTTCCACAGCTTGCTCAGAAAACGAAGCTTTTAGTATGCCTTGCACCTCCCTACACAATGAAGGACCTCCAGGGACCAACAAAATATATTTTACGACTTTCCTACAAAGTTAAAAGGGTAGGTATTTCCCATAGGTTTACATTCTTATACTATTTGATTCAGTATAGAAATATATATTATCAGTGCTTTTTTTCTAAAAAAAAAAAAAAAAAGGTGCCAGAACTCACACACGTCATACAACCCGCCTTGCCTACCCTACAAGGTTCCATCCAAAAAAGGTGCCGGAACTCCGTTCTGGACGTTCTATGAGAAAAAAAGCCCTGTATATTATCATCTCCTGCAGTTCATGTAATTTGGAAGTAGGGTTTAAATATCTATTTCATATTCAACTCCTTTTTTTCTCAGAATTTGTATGGATTTTTTTTCAACCTTCTGCACTTAAACACAAAAAATTACTTCAATTCCCCATTTTGCCTAAGACATTATGTAATGAGCATAAATGTGACTACAAAACTGGACATAATTTTTTAAAACTGATTTTGTTTTGTACAAATGCTTGCTTTTTAAAGGGGCCCTCCTACATCATTAGAGATGTTCATTGACAGAATATTTGGTAAAATGTTGCTTTCCTTATTTTGTCTTTTATAAGGATGGTGGAGAATTTCACATGAAGCTGCATACACAATATTTGTTTTTTTTAAAAAGTACTGCTGAAGAAACAGACTTGTATTTATTTTATTTATTTTTTCTGTCCAGTTTTTTAAATCAGTTGTTTCATCTACACTGATTGGACAATACATTTTCACTTAGGATGAAATTTTGAGAAGATTTTTTATCTTTAAATAAACTCTCCAACTTATAATTCCCCAATTCTTGAATAATTCCTGGAAAACATTTAGAAACCACTCTTTGCTGTTTCCACAAATAGTGTAAAAAAATTTAAAAGGCCATTTTTTCATTCACCTCCAGTTATTTTTCAGTTTTTTAAAATATCTATTTCCTGTGCCCCATCAGTGTATGCCACCTTTGCTTGATCCAATTACAGGGTTTAACTTCACTTTCTCTTCTAAAATGATTTGATAAAACTGATTAAACAAATAGAAACGAGAAAGGACAAGCATCACCTTTTCTTTAAAAGTTTTGCTCTGCATCCTCCAACAGGTTTTAACCTACCTAATACATGTATCCCAGTGTGAAAAGAAAAACCCTCCATGCCACTCATTTATGCCATCCATCCCTGAACCCCAGACAATAAAAGAAAGGACTGCTTAAGCTTTTTCATTGATTTTAAACCTAGGTAGGATGAAATTGACTAAGCACATCTTTAGATAAAATATTGGCAAATATCTACAACTTAATTAAAAACTAGGGAGAATGCCCTTTAGAAATGAAAATTTCTCACACCCATAATAGGCTTTCCTACTCTAATCCATCACCCAGAGGTCATCACCTTGACTTACAAAAAATAAAGATTACAAAACTTTGAGGTGCAGGAAACTGCATTTCCTCTGTACCGAACCTGGTGCACCCTCTAATAATCCTTAGAAAGCAGGCTAAATTCATGCACTTCCTAGGAACAAAAGACACTCTATAAAAGTAACTAGTTTTTCTTTGTGACTTGTGGCCTTCTTTGATTGCTAACTCTTTTGCTATTTTGCTGTTGAATAAATTTTACCTCTGCTTCCAGCAATTTTCCTGTGTTCTTTTCAAATCCTGGATCGGACTAGGAATTTATTCTAACACCAGAAAACCTATTTGCAGTTCCCCATGTTCAAAAAGTGAGGAGAGCAGATTTTACAAGTCTTGGTTTTGGGTAGTGATCCTACATGTTAGCTTTGCCACAGAAATTTGATTTGTCCCTTTGCTATTAAAAATATAACTTTTTTAGAAAGCCTTTGAATTATGAGTTGTTGTCATAGTAACAGTTTGGTGTATATTAGGCTTCATCTATTGCATTATTGTATTGTTGTTTTTTGTCATGGATGAAGTGGTTGTTGGCATGCTTTATATTAAAGAATGTTATAATTAATACCCACTAATTATAGTGGGTAAATCCCATAAGTAAGGAATAAAGAAAGATTGCATGTATTTCAAAATATTGTTAAAATAATGCAGAGAATCAATGGCTGAATTAAATGAGGAACTGATAAGAAACTATTCAGTTAGAGGTGCTTCTATAGAAATTTGCAATATATTTGTATTTGTATTTGGCAGTATTTATGGGGCAATAAAGACTTTCGTCTTCTAAGCAACAGAACAAAAAACGTCAGTGCCAATCTATGCAGCTACCCAGAAATAAACAAGATTTGCATCCAAATAATTTTCTCTGTTGTGGGTTTTAATCAAAACAATATAAATGTGGTAAGTGGATTGTGGATTTTTTTTTCTTTAGATAAATCAAAGTATTTATTTTTAATATGAATTTTATGGATAACTTTGCAATAATAATATGTATTATTTCTGTAAGTGATTATTTTTTTTACAACAGTTAAAAATTTGTTTGATGCACCATTTTTTTCAATTAGTTTGTTTTCATTCGTTAATCCTGTGTAGTACTGATTGCACAGTTGCAGTTGCCATCTTGATTCCCCCCCCCTTTCCTGTGGACATCTTGTAAGATGCTGAAAGCACGGAATGTGGCTTTTAAATCTGGTGACATGCTGGCACTTAGAACAGCCAGAGCAAATCTGAAAAGTGCCATAAAAGGTGCAAAGCAAGCCCATTGCCAGAAAATTCAGAACTTTTTTCAGGACCCAACAAACACCAGGCGAATGAGGCAAGGGATCCAGGCCATTATGAATTACAAGGTGGCTCCATCGAGATGCAAGGATGACACAGACTTCTTAAATAAACTGAATGCATTTTTGGGTAGATTTGAGGCATCAAATAGCACTCCTGCTAGGAAAGCAGTGCCCCATCCTGATGAGCAAGTGCCAAGCTTTGATGTCACCTCTGTCCGGAAAATACTGCAGACAGTTAACATTCGGAAAGCAGCAGGCCCAGATAACATCCCTGGACGTGTCCTCGGGGAATGCATAGGGGAGCTGGTTTGTGTTCTCACAGATATTTTCAACCTCTCATTGCAGCAGGCAGTGGTCCCATCATGTTTTAAGATGGCCATCATCTTGCCAGTGCCAAAAAAGTCCACAAATACAGTCCTCAATGATTACCGTCCGGTTGCACTGACATCCACCATCATGAAATGCTTTGAGAAGCTGATAAAGGACACTATTGTATCTAGCCTCCCACCAGCATTTGACCTGCTTCAGTTTGCCTACCGACCAAATCACTCTACTGAGGATGCTATTTCTTCCGTTCTCCATCTGAACCTGAAGCACTTAGAGGAAAGAAATACTCATGTGTGTTTGCTGTTTGTCGACTTCAGTTCGGCATTTAACACAATCATTCCCCAGCATCCAGTAGACAAACTGGGCCTTTTAGGCTTAAACACTCCTTTGTGTAACTGGATTCTTGATTTTCTTACCAACAGGCCCCAATATGTGCGAGTTGGAACAAATACCTCTAATACCATTTTCTTGAGCACAGGTTCTCCTCAGGGCTGTGTCTTAAGTCCGCTGCTGTTCACCCTGTTGACCCATGACTGTTGTGCTAGGTTTGCCACCAACCATATTGTGAAGTTTGCAAATAATACAGCAGTAGTGGGCCTTATTCAAAATGACAAGGTGAAGCTTACCACAAGGAGGTTGAAGGGTTGGTGAACTGGTGTAAGGAAAACAGCCTAATTTTAAATACCGGAAAAACCAAAGAGATCATTGTTGATTTCAGAAAAGGCAGGCACAGCCACACTTCTCTGTGCATAAATGATTCACCTATGGAGATGGTTATCAGCATCAAATTCCTGGGTGTGCAGCTAACGAGTAGGCTGATTTGGTCACTCAACAGTGAGAAACTGGCGAAGCAGGCACAGCAGCGCCTGCATTTTCTGCGCCGCATGAGAAAAGCACATCTTCCTTCCCCTGTCCTGACCACTTTCTACAGGGGGACAATCGAGAGCATCCTGTCATACAGCATCACAGTCTGGTTTGGAGGCATCACTGCTTCAGACAGGAAGGCGGTGCAGAGAGTGGTGAGAATGGCCAAAAAGATCATTGGCAGTTCCCTCCCTCCCATCCAGGACATAACACAGAAGCGCTGCTTGAGCAGGGTCCGTAAGATTATCTGGGACACTACACATCCTCTTCACGACCTGTTTTCCTTGTTACCTTCTGGGAGGAGGCTTCGTGGTGTCCGAAGCAGAACATCCAGATTCAGCCAGAGTTTCATTCCATACAGCATTAACCTTGTGAACTCTCAAGCTTCCTCCTTCCATTATATATTCAAGATGGACAATATTCAATATTTATTTGCTACGTATATGTAGGGATGTGGGTCTATACATATATTGTTCATAGTATGTTTGGTGTGTGTCATGTATGTGTTTCACTTTGAGAGCGGGCAACTAAATTTCATTTTTGATGTGTGCCATTGTGCCCACAGTATAAAAATGACAATAAAGGTTATCTTATCTGATCTTATCTTATCTTGCTTGGTGACTGTTGGCCAATAATGAGACAGAATACGTTTTCCTTGGCTTGAAAATTTCAAGGTCACCATCAGTAGGAATTGAATAGGCTTTCTCTGACAGAGGATTTAAAGAAATCTACCTGCCTCTCTTTTTGGCTTTAAGAAGCTTAATTGATGTAGCTTCCAAACTCTCAAATATTTTAATTATTTTGTGTTTATTTTTTTTCAGAGTCGAGCCGATCTTTTTTTTGGAAGTTACCCTGATTTTGCTTCTGTGAAAACTCTATTTCATTGGACCCAGGTAAAGTTCCATTTTTCAATTTTCTTTGCAAGTCAAAATACAATGGTACTATTTGCTACCATTAGATTAAATGTTTAGTATCAGGCATACACAGTGGTGGGATTCAGCCAGTTTGCATCAGTTCAGCAGAACCAGTAGCTACTTTTTCGTTGCCTGGACTTCCGGAAGCGGCATCCACACAGAGAACTGGTTGTTCACATATTTGAATCCCACCACTGAGCATACACCAAACAAATGTACAAGTCTCTGTTCCTCAAGTACTTCTTTGAAAACTAAATTCTATATCATTGTCCTTAATTCTAAAATTATTTGTTAAAATATTGTAGTATTGTTGTTGATCAGGCATGTCAAACTCGCGATGTCACGTGACTTCGCGCAACATATCGGGCCGGTTTTGCCATTGCTGGCAATGGGGTGGGCATGATGCATCTGGCCTGCAGGCCGGCAGTTTGATACCCCTGTTGTTGATGGAGTATGGCTCTAGTACCTTCATCATAACTCTGGGCTTGTCCACAATAATTTCAAGACCAACACACATTAGTGACCAGGTATTAGACCTTAGATTCACTTCAGAGCAGTTGTCATGTGATCTGGACATGGTCAGATCATTTCCTGGACCGTTGCAATTGATGTCTCCCTGTGATTTTTCTGAGGATCCACAACAAATATTGATCCTTTTATCCTAAGACACAGTTACTGTTTCTTTTGGAGTACTTGATAGCTCCAATGGTATGTCTTGGTGGGGAAGCATGACCATTAGGGAGCAGGTCACTGCTTTGGGATCCTCCTGGACTTGCAATTCCTGCTTGAACAGCAAGTGGAAGCTGTGGCCAGGGATCCTTTGGCAATTGTGGCCCTACCAGGGTGACAGGATCTTGTTACATTGACTCATACCCCATCACCACTCTCCTAGAACACTACTATGTTCTCTACATGGGACTGCCTCTAAAGAAAAACCTCAGAACCTTCAGTCAGGCCAAAATGCATCAGCCAGTGCATTCTCCAACACTCATTGGTTCATAGTACAATTGTACTAAAGACCCTATAGTGCAGCAGTTCTCAACCTGTGGGTCGTGACCCCTTTGGGGGTCGAACGACCGTTTCACAGGGGTCGCCAAAGACCAGGGCTTTTTTTCTCATAGAACACTCAGAACGGCGTTCCGGCATTTTTTTTTTATGGATTTTTTCAACTTTTCCATGAGCTGTGCTACTCCCTCTATTCTATTGGCTTTCGAACGCCAATAGAATAAACTCTATTATTTGAATAGACTCTTAATCTATTGGCTTTCGAACGCCAATAGAATAGAGTCTATTATTCTATTGACTTTCGAAAGCCAATAGGAATTGTCCAGACCTGGCCGTTAAAGGCTGTTTGTGCACTGCTCAGCGCGCCAAAAGTCCCAGCCGGCAAATGTTGCTGCAAGTTGTCTGCAGCAAAGGCGAGTTTGCAGGAACTTTCCACCCATCCCTGCTGAGCAACTATGGAATGCCATCTTCTACTCTACTACTTGTAAGTAAAAGAGGACCAGGGGTGGGAGGTTGGTAGCAGCGCTTTACTCTGCCCTGCTGAAAAAGCGGAGTGCATATGCACTCCTGCCTCGTGCTCACCTCGTGCGCCATCGGTGTGGTGTGCGGGTGGTGCTGGTGTGGTGTGCGGGTGGTGCCGTGGGAGCCGCGGGGCCTGCTTCACACAGCGGGGCTGCATGGGACAGGCGACGGCGGAGGTGGTTCTGGCGGGGCAGCAGCTGGCGCTGCCTGCGAAAGTGGCGAGGGTGGGGTGCGGCGGATGGCTGAGCAGCTGGCCTGGTTTGCTGATGGTGCAGGGCAGGCGCCTGGGAGTCCCTGAGAGAGGAAGGCATGCATGCAGGCAGGCAGGCAAGTGCCGGGCCGCGTTCGGCGCCCTACAGGTGGAAAAGCTCTTGCGAAGAGCGGTGGTGGCGCTGCTGCTGAGCGGCGAGTGCCCATAGCTGGGGGGGCTCGAGGGAACCCTGCCTGCGCCCCTCTCGGGCTGCCGAAGCTGGACGGGGGTCCCCTCTCGGGAGCCCACCCAAGCCAAGCTGGGCATTCCGGGGCGCTAACAATAACAATAACCCCCTCGCTAAAGGCTCTGGGCAGACCCCTGAAGGGAGTGAGGGGAGGCTGGCCTGGCCGGTGCTGGACCTGCGCTGCCACTGCCTCATCCTGAGTCTATGTGACTACCCGGGAGCGCCTGGCCCGCAATGCCTGCTGCTGCATGGGCCTACCTGCCATCCGCACCCTCCCGCCGCCCCCCACTGGCGTCCGTTTTCCTTTCCCAGGCAAATGTGGCAAGTGATGGGCAGCGTGAGAGACAATGTAACACTCTGAACGTTCTGAGCCATTGTGGCGTTTCGAATCTTGCGAGCATGAAAGTACCAACCCACAAAGTTGCAAGCCCCGCAGCAGGGATGGAAAGGTGAACCCCTCGCTCTTCCAACTCTTACGCTGCTTAAGGCTTCGTGTACGCCTGTACGGCGAGCCACCGAGGCCAATTTCCTCCGTGAGAAGAGAATGCTTTCCCTCTGCTCCCCCCCACCCAAACTCTCCTCCTTAAAAGGGGCGGGGCTGAGAGACAGGAGCTCCTCGAACGCCACGGCGGGCGGTTCTTAGGGAAATTATCCTCCTCTCTGACCGTTTTGAAATAAAATAATAAAATATACTAAGGGCAATTTGGGATTCATTTCACTCCAAATGCAAAGCTGGGAGATGTAGAGAATGATCGGAAAGTTGTCATTTCTATAACTGAATCTTTTTTGAATAACCAAGAAGAAGACGATCCTAAATTGTCGAATAGAATAGAATAGAATATAGAGCAGAGCAGAGCAGAGTAGAGTAGAAAATATGGAATGGAATGGAATGGAACGGAACGGAACAGAATAGATTAGAGCAGAGCAGAGTAGAAAATATGGAATGGAATGGAATGGAATAGAATAGGATAGAACAGAACAGAATAGAATATAGAGCAGAGTAGAGCAGGGCAGAGCAGAGTAGAGCAGAGTAGAAAATGAATGGAATGGAATGGAATGGAATGGAATAGAATGGAATGGAATAGAATAGAATAGAATAGAATAGAATAGAATAGAATAGAATACAGAGCAGAGCAGAGCAGAACAGAACAGAACAGAACAGAATAGAATAGAATAGACAATATGGAATAGAGAATAGAATAGACAATATGGAATAGAGTAGAGTAGAATAGAATAGAATTATGTTCAATTTGTAACAATGAAAATATATCCTGCATATCAGATATTTACATTACGATTCATAACAGTAGCAAAATTACAGTTATGAAGTAGCAACAAAAATAATTTTATGGTTGGGGGTCACCACAACATGAGGAACTGTACTAAAGGGTCGCGGCATTAGGAAGGTTGAGAACCACTGCTATAGTGCAATGATGGCAAACCTTTTAGAGACCGAGTGCCCAAACTGCAACCCAAAACCCACTTATGTATTGTTGGGTGCTGGGTGGCCATGGTCCATTGGGTGGGTGTGCCCCATTGGGTGGGTGTGCCCCATTGGGTGGGTGTGGCTTCAGTGGTAACGGCAGACTGGGTGGGACTAAAATGTTCAATCAATCAATTCCAACTTTGCGAGATTTTTTTTCCCGTGAGAAGTTGAAATTGATTGATTGAATGAACCTTTTTTTTTTTTGCACACTGCAGTGGAGGCCTAAAGCGAAAAGGTTTTATAAAACCCAGCTGAAGGCCTAGGACTGGGGCGATGGCGCATGTGCCCACAGAGAGGGCTCTGCGTGCCACCTGTGGCACGCGTGCCATAGGTTCGCCACCACGGCTATAGTGGCTTCCTAAAGCCTCCTCCGTGCAATTTAAAATGATTAATCCATTAAACCAAATTATATTCCCACTAAAAGTATGTTTTCCAATAGAAGTGGTACAACCTATTCATACTTATCAGGACAACGATAATAGTAGTATCTCAATTTTGTGCGTGACAGTGCCCAAACTATCTGTCAAATGGACAGGTTGAAAGCTTGCCATGTATCAATGCTTGTTCCTAGATAGTTGAGTCTGGACATAATGAACTCTCTCTTTTGGGAGAGAACCATTAAAAAGGACTTGCCTCCAATGTGTCTGATCAAATTGATAAGCAAATACTATTTGAAGTTCTGAGTATGAATTTTAGTAAATTAGTAATAGAACATCCCAGGGATTACTAATAAGAATAATGCAATGCGGGAAGGGGTATATAAATATTTATAAACAAAAGATTGCAAGGCAAATTAAAGAAGAAGATCTAAAGCTGAACTGGTTCTAGCATATTCATGAGAATACTAAATGGAAACTATACCCACCACTTTATTTCTTGAAAAAGGAAACATAGGAGACTTACCCATATTTTCATGAAAGGGGAGGATATCAGAATAGTAATATAATCCAGGAGTCAGACATCAAGATTCTTTACTTTCTGCTTTGATGTTCTAAGAAAGGGTAGAAATTAAATTATGATCACAGGAAAATCAGTTGGCATCAAAAACTTCAATCCAAGCCCACACTGAACCATCAAGAATATAGAGAAATCTAGTGACGTAGAATCTGGATAAAGAGTAGCAAATGTCTCCCACAATAGGCAAATGAATTGTACTTGTTTTGCCTGTGGTATCTCTGATAAATAAGGTGCAGAATTTGGGTTTGAGCTGATAGAATCCTGTGAAAGACCCAAGCCAAATGAGGTGGTGGGGAGGGGGGAACTTCTAAATCTACATAGCTTGAGGCTCCCTTAGATTGGATACAATGTAACATGCAATGGAGTCAGAGATCCAAATATTCTTTATAGGCCATCCCCCATTTTATGAATTTTTTTTGCAAACTGGAGAGAGGGTATGATAATTAAAATCCTTTAATTTTGAACTTATATTTGTCTCTAATTTCAGATTTAAAAAAATAAATGTGTAAGTTTGTTAAGTATATGCAACTCTTTCTTCTCAATTTAGATCTTTGAATCAAATGAATTTAAACATTTCGACTTTGGAAACCAGAACAAAGCTATATACAACATGGTGAGGAAAATATTGTTACAGTGCTTGTAATGAGACATGTGCTTGCATGCATACTCAAAGAGGTGTGATTTCCGAGCACCCATCTTCCCCACACAACTTCCTACTTCCCACAATCTTGGTGACAGCCTACTCTGCATGCTACTACCATCCATTCTGTTTTAGAGCACTTACCTTCCTGCACTGGATTAATCAAAGTCTAACTGGGAGGAAAAATGTGCTAAATTAAAGCTGTAGCACTTTCAGCCAGTTTCTTTTGTATGCCTCCACTGCAGTCTCAATTTTATCAGGTAGAACTTGTTCCTCTTCCCTAACATCTTTTAGACAGTCTATTTATAAAGGCAGCCACTATTAAAATTAACTTTTGGGTCTAGTTTTCAAAAATATCCTTCCTTATCCAATGTTAAAATATTTTGCTTCATTCTATAATTGTAAATTGAGTTTGTATTCTTGTTTAATTGTAATCTTTGGTTCCCTTTAGTTCCCTCTAGTGTCCAGATTTGAAAATCTTACTATACATTTTTTTTAAATCAAAAGAAAAGCATTTTCCAATAGATAGGATTCTTTATAATTAATTCTAAAACCTAATTTCAAATTTATCTGGCCCTTTAATTTGTAACTTTCTAAAAATCAAAGTTTTAATAACTTTTCTGTTTATTCCAAAACTTTGTTTGCTAAGGTTTCAAGGAAACTCACCTGGTATTGTCAATCCAAATATTCCTAATAGCTGAAAAACAGTTAACAAGTAATTTCCAAAAATAATAAAAAGTTTGCAGACATAGTATCCTGTCAAAAGCATAGACTGTGGTTTGAGTAAGATGGCTATTCCCTCGTCTCATGGAGCTCTATACCTGCTAGAGTCTACAAAGCTGTCTGGAGCACTTGTGGCTGATCTCAAGTCCTCTTCTTGTCCAGAGAGGAAGTCTCAAAGAGTCAATGTACTTGCTGACTCTTCATTCTACCATGGTCATTGGCTCCCTTTTTTGGGCAACCACTTATTCCCTGGAAATTTTGTGAATGAGTGCACATTGTAAAATGTGCTTTGCTATGTTAAATTATTAAATTACTTATGTACTAAATATTGTGAATACAACTTCTCTATACCAAAGTATCATAATACAAATTTGTGTGTATGTGTAAATTTCATATTTTCAAGAACCCAAAAATAGATTGTAAAAATATACTTATCAATCAACATATTTTTTCAGCAATTTTTGAAAAGATTGAATTGGTATAATCTGATACAAAATATACAGATGTGATTCATCCTGAGCTACTGCTTGATTAAACCTTTAATGTGAGAGCTTTGTAACTTATCAGTCACAAAATAAGAATTATGTATCATAGAAGATAAGAGAAAAAGGATTTGTCAAAGAATAGGATTTTTTTTCAGATCTGGATGCATGGAACAAGAATGTTGATATTACTGAAAGATAAAAGATCTGGAAATAGGACAACTGAAGACTATTTCATATTTTGCATCTCTTCTTCCACAGACCAAGCCCCCTTTTTATAAATTAGAAGATATAACTGTGCCAACAGCTGTTTGGAGTGGTGGGAATGACTTCATAGTGACTCCAGAGAACATAAATCACCTGCTCCAGCAACTTACTAACTTAGTTTTCCATAAGTATATTCCTAGCTGGCACCATGCTGATTTTATCTGGGGCCTTGATGCCCCAAAATACTTGCATGAGGATATTTTTCATCTAATGCAGAATTACAAATAAATATAGGTGGAAGTTTTCTCTGGCAATAGAGGATAACAGCATTTTGAATTTGATGTAGAAAATAAACAGTTCATATTTTCCACATTAGTTTTGAAATGTTACTATCCTCTTTTGTCAGAAAATGTCCCTTTGCTTTTATACCTCCCTTATCTACACTCTATCTGTCAAAGCTGATAACATCGGATGTTCTTGCTTTGACAACAGATGGAAATGTAGCCATCTTTTTTCTTTCGCTTTTAGAATTGGTTGATTCTGGGAGGGAGGATGTGGATGAGAGTCTACTTAGTCATAACAATAATAACTCAGCCATGGGAATCAAGGTTATTGCGTCCAGAGTTGATAAAGATTTGGCAGGCTGGAGAGCTGGGGAGAAAGCCTGCGCTTCAAGCTAATTGGGGAATGTAATTTATGGCTGTTTATTGGAGGAGGAAATTGTGCTTTGTTACTTTGTGCCCAGGGGAGAGGAATTCATTTTTTGGCTTTAACTATGTAGTGCCAATACTTTGTTTCTCGAATAAAACATTGTTTAAGGTAAATAATGCCTTGAAGTTCTTTTGAAGAATTTCATTTGTCGGAACTACGACAGATTACAAACTTTCATCCCCAATGTTTATGGTTTTTCTTGTTTAGCTGAGGGGATGTTAAAAAGCATGTTTCTATATGAAGGAGCCATCATTATTTGTGCGTTGCATTGAGCAGTTACTTCTGATAATTTTTGACAATGAAGACTTAAAGCAATGTTTCTCAATCTTCGCAAATTTAAACTGTGTAAACTTCTAGAATTCTCCAGCCACCATGGTGGCTGACAATTCTGGGAGCTAAGGTCTATTCATCTTAAAGTTCCCAAGGTTGAGAAACACTGCCTTAGAGTGTTATGTGTGACCTCAAGCATAAAACATTCCATTAGACAGAGTTTTACAGTTATTTAAAAGCCATATTTAGGGATTATGCTAAGTCCACACCACAATATTTTGCCTGTGATGTCATTATTAAAGAGATGACTATTCATTCAATTCAGATGTCTCTGCTGAAGAGTCTTCCATATACACAACAGAGTATGCACTGAAATTTATATACTACATCAGCATTTCCACAGTAACACATATACTATTGTCAATGGATCATGTTTAGAAAGACAATTCATTACCATTTTGCTGTTTTTAAAATAATTTTATTAACTTTTTTTAAGAAGGAAGATAAAAACTTATGCAAACTAATATAAAGTACAAAAAAGCTAAAAGTGAAAGGGGAAATAATAGAAAAAAAGAAAAAAAAGATACAGAGAAGTAGCTTCTGATTTTCTTTACAACAGTTATAAATATGATTATAAATTCACCTTTTATTCTAGTCCAGTGATAGTGAACCTTTTAGAGACCGAGTGCCCAAACCGCAACCCAAAACCCACTTATTTATCGCAAAGTGCCAGGACCGCATCAGCATTGTGGTGCCCTCAGGGGGGGCAGGGAGGCACCTCTGAGTGCCATCTCTGACACGCAAAAACTGGTGGTGCAAAAATGGGCCACCACGCTGCAAGGTGCAAAAACGACCGCCACCACGGCATGGGGTGCAGATACAAGGCGCTGCACCACGCAAGAATGGGGCAGGGCTAGTGAGTATCACGCAGGCACTAGCCCCACCCCATTTTCAGCATGTACATGCTTGCGGCCCTGTGTGCACATGCACACATGTAAAATGCTTCCCCCTCCCTTTTCTTTCAGTCCACCAATCAACAATGGTTGGTGACGTCTGCTCTATCACCTCTACTCAAACTTGCTAGTCAGACGCTTTGCCTCCTTTGTGCTGGCCGGGGCTCCTGCTCTGGGCGACGGTGGTGACCTGCTGCTAGCAGTGGTGGCGTGCATGCCAACAGAGAGGGCTCTGAGTGCTGCCTCTGGCATGTGTGCCATAGGTTCGCCACCACTGCTCTAGTCTAAGGGTACAGCTGAAATATCTTTTTCTATTATCTATCCTGTCTAATTATCAAAACCATAAATTATAAGTTCATTTTTTTTCTGTTTCATGCAAAAAGTCCATAAAGGTTTTAACTCAACAATGAATACTAGATATTGTCTTTTCTCTGATAAGTCAATTTAGTTACCTCATCAAATTGCATCATCTTCACCAACCATTCCTCCACTGTCGGAGTGCCAAATCTTTTCATCTTTGTGCAAACAATAATCTTATTACAGTAATTAATTTCCATTTTGCTATTACATCAGTCAGTCTTACATGTTAACTTTCCAGGTAAGCAAAGCTAGTCCAAGCTTGTCTTCACTTACTTACAATTCCTATGTAGCTCACTGACAACAATCTGTTTGTATGCAAGCTCTAACTCAGGCACCAAACCTAGGTAAATTCAGGCAGAAGTTAGTCTGGCTCAAGTCAAGGGTTCAAAAAGAATTCTTATGTGGGGTCCTTGATGACTCTGAGCTTTTTTTTTCTTGCAGATGTTTCATTAACAAACTAGGTAATATCACTGAAGTTATCTAGCTTGATAATGAAACATCTGCAAGAAAACAATCAAGTTCTCTCTGAACTTAGCTGCTTTCTTGCAGATGTTTCATTATCAAGGACCCTACAGTTCAACCCTGAGATACACATGTTCTCTTCTATCAGAATTTTTATGGTATATTATGGTAAATAATAAAGATATTTAACAGGACTTATAATAACTCCTTGACCTACTGTGAAACAAAACATAACCCAGAGACAGGAAGAGGCCACCATGGAGACAATCTAACATTTTTTTCAACTCTTCCCTCCCCTTCCCCAGATGTGCTCTGAATTGATAACACTGTACATATATTGGGGAAATTGGTTTGAAATATAAGGCTTAGACTGAAAAAAATGCTCTGTTATATCAAACCTTTGTAATTGCTAGACTATACCAAAGCCCATCAGGTGCCACAAATGGACTACTCCATGACTTACCTATGGAATACCCTGGTGTTCAGTCTACACTTCAAGTGGGGATTAAGAAGAGGTATATTGTGAGACCTTAACCTGACACTGTTGTATGTGTAAAAGGAGCTTCATGATTTTTGGATGTTTTAGTTATCAGCTAAATAGATCTTAATTTATGCCTTCAGCAAGCCTCCAGCTGTTTTTTATTTTTATTTTTATTGATTTTCCAGTTTTACATTTAAATATTTGAAAAGCAACGTGGTGGCTGGGTTGGTTCATAATTCAATAACATACAAATTTCTTTAGTACAAATCACAAACTATTACATTAAATATTTCCTCTCTTTTCCCCTTAGTATTTACTGTCTCACATTTAAATTAGTGCAATTCTTATTATATCAATTTACTACAAATAACTTTCTTACATTTATCAATAATTTTTAGTTTATACATATCTTAGTCATTTTAACATTCAATCTTTTTAGGCAATCATTGTCCTGATAAGTTTCCCCCAATTTTTAGTTTCCCATTAATATTTAAATTTAACGTTTAATATTTATAGTTTCCAAGTTTTAAATAACCCCAATTTCCTTTATCACAATTCATCCCAAGATCTTACATCAGCTAGTTAATAATACAATATAATATTCTTGTTTTCTAGTAATTTCTTATATTTAATAACCAAAATTTCTCTTATTTCAACATTTAATATTTCCTCTTTTTTCTCTCTCTACTATCTCATATTTAAGCTAATAATTTTTATTACCACTAAATAAAAACATTTATTACATTCATCAATATTTCTTTAGTTTATATATATATTAATTGCCTTTATATTCGATATTCAGTATTCAAATTTAATTATTAATGTTTATATTTCCAAGTCTTGAATGCCAGAGTATCCTTTAACTCCACTCATAACAATTTCTAATATTCAAAATACACATCTTATCTATTTGAGAATATTTTATTTTAATTCTCACTAGTAATTCAAAACCCCAATTTTCTTCAGTCTTATTCTAGCTGTCTTTCTTTGCCAAATCGTCTTCCATGTCCGTGCTTTTGAGTCATCAAATAGATCTCCCTGTATTGTTATGTATGTTGTTTGATGTGGAAAAAACCATCCGATCACCATTTATTTGAGAGGACTAACAATTTGTCTCTCTATTTTTCCATCTTGATATAGTTGTCTTGAACTGTTTATCTTCTCTTCAGTCTGTTGTTTTTCTTGATCATCAGGTTTTTTCTGATTTATGTAAAAAAATATTTTTCCTTTTCCATATTGTCAGTCTCTTTTCTAAGTTTTCCATTGATAGTATTTATTGATCAGTTGAATCCTCTGTCATAGTATTTAATTGGTCCACTTTTTCCGTTATATTCTGTGTAGTTGATTTTTCAATTGTAATCAAAATTTGAGTTCGTGTATCTGGCCTGACATCCCACTCTTTTCTGCAACCTCTTATTTCATCAGTAGCTGTAAGAATAGTTTGGTAAATTGCTTTCAGCATAAAAAGAATTTGTTCCTGATCTTCCTCATATTCTCTTAGTAATGTATTAGGTTAAAAGCTTTGCAATCAGAAAATGTAAAAAAAAATCAGTAAATATGGACTGCAGCTGGGTTTCACAGCTGATATTTCAAGGTTATAAGTCTTATCTATTGTCTAGGCTGCCAGCCAAGTCTCTTTTGAACAATAACAGGTTGTAATATCAGGTTTAGCCACAAGATGTTGCCCCTATATTTAAAAATTTCCTTTAGGTCTGAAGTTTTTATAATCTTTTCAGTTTTACTTCTTTTTTTATAAGTAAAAACCCAGATCTTCAGTAAAAGTAGAAAGACGTTTAGTCCACAAACTTTAAGAAGTAAAATTCCAATTAGGATCAAGTTATTCTTGCAACATTTTGAAACTCCCCTGGATAGTCAGTCACCACTATTTTTAGAGGGAGAGGTAAAATCTCCCTTCCCTCTCCACAGGGGGGAAAGTACTTAAGCAGCTTATGCAGGTAAAAAAGATAGTTAGGATTTAAGAGAGGTAGATCTCACCCAGTCTCTTCCGCGCTGCTTTAAAATTGCCTGATGGTAAGTGTGACTTCAGCTGT